TAGCGTGCGTGTTACCGGGCAGCCCCCGTCCCACCCGCGTGCGTGTGTAACAGCAGCGATAACCCGGCATCAGCTGAGTGGTGATAAGGCTGTTGCCTGTCCCTTTCGCAGAGGTTGTTTGGTAAGGGTGGATCACAGCATCCTCATGCCACCGTCGTTTCTCCTGTTGATTACCGTGGACTTGAGTAGTCACGGTGTTTTCTAGCAGTAATCCATGGGATGGAAAGTTTGAGAGCGTTTTGAGGTACCTGTCGGCTGAAGGTAGAGCAAAGATTTGAATTCCTGCCCGCTCTGCTAATCAGGCAGGCCTGGGCAGCTTCTGAAAGCGGATTCTCTTGTTTGAAGAAATGAGTTACTGCTCATCTTTTAAGAAACTATAAAGCTGTATTTCTGTGCACTGCGACCTGTTTTTCCCCTTGCTTTTAGTGTGAATGCTAGTTTTAATTGATGTTTGTTTGGTTTTTTTCTTCTTTCCTTTGAAGGACAAGAAATTAGCCCAGATGCAGTAAACTGGAAGCAATGGAAGAAAGGAAAATCAAGAGGAGGAGTCCCAAATCATCCACCAGTCACCCTGCTCAGGTTGCTAACTCCAAGAAAAACTCAGTGCCGGTCAGTAAAAGCACAGCCTTTTCAAATCCTGCACCACAGCCTGCGGTACAAAAACCAAAGTTAAAACGGTAAGCTTGGGAGCATCTTGCAAGCTCAGTGGAAGTGGGAGCCAGAAACCTGCCAGTGCTCAGGCAGCCGACAAGGTGTTTAGTCTGGCTGGGACAGAATGTAAAGAAAGAGCTTCAGACTTGTGAAACACTTTGATGACTTTGTCTTTTTTAGCAAAGCAATTTGTGTTTAATGCAACAGAATGGTTATTTTGTGGAAAAGGAAGGTGCTCAGCACTCCTCTTGTAAGCTGTTACTACACAATGCTATAGACTCATACTGACGCAGTTTAGGTGAAGATGATAGCCTGATGGGGCTGGTGAAAGTTGAGCTGGGTGATCAAGTAGGGCAAACGTGAGCATCGTGTGGGAGATAGCAGAGCCTCAGATATGCAGCTGTGAGGAACAAATAAAATACTACATGACTGCAAGGATGGAACTGATGAGTAGGGCAGGAAATGAAGGATGTGAATTGAACAGGATGTGCTAGAAGTGGAATTTCCTGGAGTTTCTTGCTTGGGGACCTATCAGCAGGGGCAGCAGTAGTTCCCAGGCCACACTCATGTGCAGGGAGAGACTTTCACCTCTTCAAAAAGTACTTTTTTGGAACAGTTTGTGTGTTAATAATGATACACCTATTTCAGTTTGAGAATGTTGATTTTCTTTCGTGTTAAAAAATACATTTCTTGGCCATGGCAGATACAGTAGATAAATGAGTGAAGAGGGATTTTAAAGTGTAATGTTAGCTAGAGAGAGGCAGCTCAGTTTGTTGGCCTGTATTAGCTGAAGATTAAATACTGCACTATCATCATTAGCACAGATATTTCCTCTCAGAAAACGTTCCACACAGATAGTCTGTGTGAAGGATCCAGTGTTGGCCTGATGAATAATGAATTTCTGCAATGTAAAGTGTATGTTATTTTTGAGGGAAAATGTGTTGTGCTATAAATTCGTTGGTTTCTGCAGCTGACTACACAGTTAACTTAAGTCTCAATGCTATTATAGAATGTACTAGAAATTTATTTCTTGCAGTCCACAATACTGGCTGGAGAAGAAAATGTCGTTTTTGCTTTAAGTTTTGGAAAAGGACGTTCTTGCCCAATTGTTAAGTCAAGCTTACCAAGCTGTGCTAGTACAGATAATTCCTTGAGCTTTCCAAGCGGGAATGGGCAGAACAAGGTGAGGATGAACTGCTGTTACAGTAGTAGAGTAGGAGTATTTAATTAATTTTCACCTGATCTGCAAGGCTCTAATGAAGTAAGTTTTCCAGGAGCGGTAATATATTGTATTAAACCTTAGATACAGATGGGGAAGAAAAAATTAATGACCTGTCTGGCATACAAAACTTACTTGGAGTCTGAAATTGAACTAGAAATAGCTAAAGTTAAACCTAAGTTTACAGCTCTGAGCTGAACCAGATACAATAACTGTTGGACCATTGTTTATAGATCACAGAAACTGTTAGGCTGGAAAAAGAGTGATTATTTCCCATAGGAAAAAATATGACTTACAGAGCATGGAAGCGTTCTAGGGAAGGGTGAGGCTTACTATGCTGTAAACCCTATTATCTTCACTGATTAAATTAAGCTGCTTTATTAAGCCTGTGATTTTATTTACTATCCCATAGTATTCTAAATTTTAACTTTTAGTCTCAAAATTTGTCACTGAATCAGGTTCTGAACAGATTTATTGTAAGGCTGCAGAAGCAGCCATGCCCATGTGAGAGAAAGGCTACTTGCACACACAGATGGGCAAATCAGGGGTGAAAACAGCCTGTTACCTGAATCGTATTAGGTTAGGATGCAGTCTGTCTGTCCCACTGTAACTGTGTTTAGCTTCCATATCAATTACATGTCAATATGGATAAGAAATAGGAAAATTTATCTGGAGGCAAGGTCACAATCCTTTGGAGTTTGTAACAAGTTGTTTTCCACACTGGTTGCAGCCTATAGGTGTTTGTGGGAACAGGAGCATATGATTGCTGAGGGTTTCCCCCTCTGGCTTGAAAAGAGTTTGCAGATGCCTTTTTTGAGCGAGTTTTATGTAGATGAAGTCCCAAGCACCATGTGTCACTATTGGTCCTCTTTAGAGTATTAAGATGGCCATAATGTGCATGGTCTGCTCTGATGTTTCCCACTATTAGTAAGAAAGCAGGTTGCTGGAATTCTTCACTCTGCAGTATCAAACTCTCAAGATAGCGATGTTGTTCTGTAGTCTTGAGACAAACAGGTGATCTATATTTTTAACTGAAAAGGATTAATTGAAATATGTACTACATATTTTCAATTTCAAAGCCTAGATGTACACCTATCATACATTCAGATTCTCAGGGAAAGCGAAAGCAGGAAGTAATCTTTTTTGTTTGTTTATTTTTTTCCAGTGTAATAAAAGAGAAAGCCAAACCTCCGGGAGGCGAAGCAAAAGGGGCACAGGCAGCACCAATCCAGCATTCTTTTCTCACAGATGTATCAGACGTCCAGGAAATGGAAAGGGGACTTCTGAGTCTCCTGAATGATTTCCACTCTGGCAAACTTCAAGCATTTGGTAAGTGTCTGAGTTGTCTGTATACAATAGTTTTTATAGCTGTATGATGGTAACATTTGCAAGCAAGTGTGCTGCTGTACAGACAGACTGCCACTTTGTCACAGTGGACTCTGCCATGTGAAATGAATTTTAATATAATAGGTCTTACTGCACTTTTAAATTATAGTCCTATTGTAGGGTTGTCTTTGGTGGGAGATTATCCAAATGCCACTTCATTGTTCCTTCCAGCATGGCTTTCCAAAGGCAGCACCTTGGCTTACGGATTTAAGATAACTAGTTTAAAGCCACTTATTTTTGAATAATAAGAAGTAACATATATTA